GAAGACAACTCGTGTCTTTCTAATAGGAAATTTTCAAGTCGTTTAAAAGATTTAAATATAGCATTTTTATTATTTCCCATTATTTATTGTAATTATGGTTGCATTACTTTCGTAGTATTATTTTTGAAGCAACATTTTATATAATTTTATTTTCATATTTCATTTACGAAATGTTTATGTCTTTTGCAGGAAACCACCAAATGTTTTGATGTTTTTGTGGAGTTTTTCCACAGAATTTCTTCCTTCATCTGTTTTGGTTGCCGAAAAAGAAACTAAAATATCAATTAATTACCAAACGTTTGTAGAAGATTGAGTGAATTTTAATTTTTACATTTCGGTGAGTTCAAACAATTTAATCGGTGTACGTTTATCATCGTATGTTTCTTAATCGTATAAAAATGAATGTTACATTCCAGATTACACTTTTAATATTAATTGAAAAATTAATGAATTTATTAATTCATTAATTTTTCAATAAATATTAAATAAATTAATGAATAATAATCGTACATATAATTATATAAATTTTGAAATGTACCCTTCTCTTATAATGAAAATTTTTTATGGGGAACTTTGGGCGGCACGTGAAATCGAATCATCCGCTCTGTACTTTATGTTTTTATTTTATACAGTTTGTTATATAATTGTCTACTAGGACAGAGCTTATTAATAGGACTTTTTCTAGTGGTGTTAGGTTTATGCAATGAAAAAAAATTTATCCAGGCAAAACAAACAATCTTTATTGTTCACCACGTATTTTGCGTGTACACACTTTGTTTTTGTTTCGGATTTTCAGGTCTTTCTTCAGCAAGTTTACAATGCAAACATAATGCTAAAAACAAAAATTTATAAAAATTTACAATACTATATAACAAAGATTACCGGACAATGATATGAATGTGTTAGCATGATTTACAATTTCATTCTTGTTAATTACTTCGATATGTAAATAAATACACAGAAGAATTTCAATCATAAAATCACAATACCTTATAAAGTTAAAACACATTTTATAAAAATATAATGTTTTATAACGTTTAAAAGAATTTGTTTATTCTCACATACCTGTGCTTGCAACAGAAAACGATGCAAGACATTTTTACTTAGTTTACTCCTTTTATATACTTTCCATACTATTGCTCCTGTTATCGATAATACTGTTCCATGATTAGTGGATAAATATGTTTGCATAACTGTCTTTTAAAATTGTTTTTTTCTTTTTCCTTTATTTCAATCGTATCTAAAACAATTTTACATTTTCTATATTACAATGTTCTGCTACTGCCGAATTTTCATTATTTTCTTTTATGGCTCTGATATGTTCCTTTATACTCATTTTGCATTTTCTCTTTGTCTCTCCTAGGAAAAAGTTAAAAATACGTTAGGTATGTATCTTTAATTTATATGTATATATAAATGAATATGTATATTCGTTATGCACGCATAGGCCGTTCGTCAAATTTCTATGACACTCGGCAGTTACGTTTACAATCTTCTAACTTAGATAATGTCGTACTTACCACCCGAAAATATTGATTGAATTTCTATATATCAATTAATTTGTATAGACGTGTATACATTCGATTCGGATTCACGACCAACTGCTGGTGTTCGGTGGTTTTATTTAGATGTAGATAATATAAGTCTAAACCAGTGTTTAAATTACACAATTTTAGTGAATTAGTTGGTTAACTGATCTAAATTATGTATGTGTTTCGTGTTCTTCTCTAATACAAAATTCTGTAGAATTGAAGTCTTGCGACATTGCATAAGCAGCAGCATAAATGGATGTATAGAAAGTTTATGTAGAATCATTATGTGATAGTAATATAATTGTATACATTATAAATCACACGTCACAGTATTGCTTAATCCTCAGAGTCAATGGCTCCCTACATTTTTGGTATCCTGCAACNTTGATAAATAATGCAGGAATTGGAGAAGGAAAAGTCGTAGACGTTAACCTGGTTTGTTTGAATATTTTGCTAATAATATATTAATTATATTTTTGCATTTTTATCATTGATAATTCGTAAAACATTTAGAATGGAGTTATAAATGGCTGCTTTATTGCGTATCAATATATGGGAAAACATAATGGAGGAAGTGGAGGTTCTGTTGTTAATGTTGCTTCTATAGCAGGTAATTATTATTATTTTTTAAGTTTATTGATATATTGAAGAATAATTTATAAATTTACTGATCTCATCTTTTTAAATAGGGTTATTACCTTTTCCGTTTTCGCCCGTTTACGCAGCAACTAAAGGTGGTGTTATTAGTCTTACAAGGAGTTTTGGAGTAAGTATTGAAAATCTAATACTTAAACAATGCTTAATAGAAATGTAAAAGCAGATACCCATAAGGCAACAGGATGGCCGAGCGGTTAAGTTTGTTTGTATACGGCAACACAACACGTGGGCGATCTGCCGACAGGGTATTAAGGGGGATGCCTGGGAAACATTCCCTAGGACTTTCTACGAAAAACTGGCTCCTATTTAGTTGTTACAAACATCAAGAAAATCCGAAAAATTCCATGTGCCCAGCCCATTGTCGAGGAGCAAAACCTAAGACCAGTCTTCAGTGGTTTTATTCGAGCAGTTAAGACGTCAAGCTAATGCTCTGGGGATCGGGATCATTTCCCGGCGAGCTAAAAATTTTCCATGAACTCCCAGAAACTTCGGGTCCCGTTTCTTACCACTCAGATCAGGGCGATAAGAAACGGAACGCGATATAGGAGTATAGATAAAAGTTATAAAAGTCCGTTTAGTGCCCACAAGGTGGAAAGCCAAAAATTATAAAATGTACCTTTAAGGTGGAAAAAGACTGAAAGAAAACATGAACAGACACGGGCTCACTACAAAGAATTGCTTGGTATTCTTTAATTTAAAGCAAAATGTTGCGTTGCTTTATCCAACCAATCTAATCCAACAGGACCTTTAATTTAGTAAGCCCGTTGCGGGTTCGACCAGGAGTACAACAGGGCATCCATGCGCTCAGGGATGAGAACCGTGCGCGAGGGAATGGGGATATCTCCTACCTAAACTTATTTTATTCATATTAAACAAGGCACATACCAAAATAATATAGAGGAGAAGGTGGTATTATGGAACCCCAATTACATTTTAGTGAATTGTAAACAAGGTATCATAGCTACACCCACATTTTTTGTGCGAAAAGTACTGGTAACTAGTAAA